GGTTTGCTTGAGAGATATGCACACTCTTAATTAGCACTAGTAAATATCCTTTTTCCCGTTTTTGCTTTCTATCAACTACTTCTTTTATTTATTAATTAATTAAAAAAATTTTTTTGCATGGGGTGTTTGCCGCTTGTATATCAGGTATATGTTTGTGCATGCAATTGTGTGTTACAACCTAAGTCTTGAAATTTTTCGATTTAGAAATAATATTGATGGATAGAAATTATCTCTCTGGGGGCGTATTTCCCTTAGAGGTTATGAGTATAGTATATAAAAACAACAAAACTTGACTTACCAGATCCCTGTCACGATGGTTAGTATAATAATTATCCTGTGTATGTACATGAATTGGCCTTTGATCCTCCTGTAAGTTGACCTGCCTTCGCTTTTCCCTGTTGTTTCCTTTTTTTTAGTGATGTATTCTGTATCTTGTCTCTGGGCTGCGGTCCAGGCTCGGCATGCCGTATTCTCTTTTTGTCCGCATTTCCCTGAGTTTGACTGGGAGTTGCTTCTAGTATTCTGGTGAATTGGTCCAGGATCATCTATGAAAAAAATATTATTTCTTGGTTTGCAAATAATATGAAATGTATTTTTCTGGTCATTATTCAAACTTTTAAACATCGAGTAAAATATTTCTTTACTGAAACGTATTTCATCATCTATATCTCCTTTTTTACTCTCGATTTTTTTTTGGTGAGGGTAAATTACAGTATCCACACGATTTATCTTCTAAATCTGAAATTTGGTTAATATGTAAAAGAGCTAAACTATCTTTATTATTAAGCAAACCCTTCATAGAAAATTCTTTGTATTTATTTATTTATTTATTCCATGTTTTATCACCTTAAACGTTTTCTGAAATTAAAAACCAAGCAAAAAATTGTCTTAATTGATATGGAAACATAACAGCAATTTTTTCATCATTGTCTATTAAACCCATTGCAATTGCAGTATCTTTAAAAGTTTCATAAGTTATTCCTTTTCATGTTTTAATGTCTTTGAACGATGTCGAACTAGTTACTTTATTTAATACAAGTTTAAAAAAAAAATTTTCATGATCTTTTAGAGNGTTAATAACTGTTTAATTATTAAATATCAAAATATTTATAAGAATCCGACATAATTTTCGTACACGAAGAGAAGATTCTAGGGCCAGCTCCTTAGACCGTGGAATATTTGAACGATGTCGAACCAGTTACTTTATTTAATACAAGTTTAAAAAAAAATCTTTCATGATCTTTTAGAGATACAATGTTAAATTGGTAAATTGCAATTATTTTTATTATATTTTTCCTTTAAGATTAATTTTTAGTTTACGATTACTATTTGAATTTCCATATTTGAATATCGTTATGGTTTGAATATCGTTATTCGAGAAATTAACTATAACGTGAACAGGTGATAAATCTGAGAAGCTTTTAATTTCAAAACTTGTACGATAAGTCCCATTTTTGACATTATGTTAATATATTTATCACTACTTTTTACATTTTGATAATAATCGTTTCCTACTATAAATTCATAATAATNTCGGTGAATAGAATTTAAACGAACAAACAAAGAAATCGCGAGAAAACCCGAAAAAATTCTTCGTGCGTGTCGTTGATACAATAAAACCACGTGCACGAGAGCGCGCTTGCAAACCAATCCGTCAATCTATAAACGGCAGTCCAATAAACAACGCGAAGGACGGGCTTTACAAGCGGTGCAACAACCACTAAACCCCTCGAAACGGTATACCCACACAGACACACATTCCTCGAGTTTCCTTCTTCTTTTTCCTCCCGAGCAAAGAGGCATCGAAAGCACGCGCGCATCTTAGCAATCTCGCGCTCGCGGAACTTATCTCGGGAACATCCCCCGCCCCCCCCTACTCTCCCCATCCACCTCTTTTCTCTCTTTAACGCTGCAGCCTGTGTGACTAAAATTATTTCCCGAGCCTCGCGCGCCACGCGTACTTACACTCTCTCTCTCTCTCTCTCTCTCTCTCTCTCTCTCTCTTGCATGTACGCCACTTGCCCCCTTCCTCTCACGCTGATACTATACCTATAAATGTATGCATATATTATAGGTATGTTAGTATGTACTAGAAGCAAAGTATACGTATACAATAAGCATACATTTATATTTATATTGTATACATGTAAGCGTGTTTGCCGTATTTGAAAAATTAATTTGGATATTTTCAAAATCTTTGAAAAATTTTAGTCACAACTTAACGTCTCAAAATTCGATAAACAGTCATATCTTAAAAGGTAAGCCAGATCTGCTAAATATAATTTTATGTATAGAAGATATTATTGAGATGCAAAAATGCATGTTACACGGAATTATACAAATTATCGTAATAACTCTAAAAGTAATAAGTCAGATCTCAAAGGCAACGCTATACCCTACATTTTCTAGCTATAAATTAATTTATTTTCTATTCTCTATCATTTATTATACAAATAATTGTCACGTGATCAAAACCTATATTCTCATTAATAATTTTAAGATTAGTAGACATTAGTTATAAGCACGACTAAATTTCAATATTAAATTATAAAGAATCATAGAAATCGAATTGAATGAAAAATTACATTTTTACAATGGAAAATAGCTATATGTCTATTGTTTTCCTTAATTTCAATAAGAGAAGTGGTGTAGATTGTTTTACTATTATGGTAGCCAAAATTAAAAAAAATTGCATCTGTTGGATACAATGATCCCAACAAGAATTGATTGTCCATCTATAATGCACGAATAGTAATTTTAAATATAAAGAATTTTTCCGCCCTCGGGTGGTTTTGGGAGGCTGGTACTTCCTCGGGCTGAAAATTAGTTTTCCGATACTCGTTCGAAAAGTCTCCTTTACGAACCTCGTTACGGACCTCGCCTTCGGCTCGGGCCGCAAACCTCTCGGTTCGCAAACAAAGACTTTTTAAACTCGTAGGAAAACTACTATTTTGTTCCGCGTAACGGGAAAAAAGTACCTTTTTTCGGGGCACTATGATGAAAATTTTTTTTTCATACTGCATTACATGACCAACAGTTAGTACATATATTAAAACATATATATTATAGCAAATATGGAAGTACTTGGAATGCGTGAATCACATGTAACATAAGTATACGTATTTTATGCACGCGCGTGCTGGAATACGTAATAATAATAAAATTTTTACTATTTTAATGTTGGATTTTTAAAGACCTATTGAAATTAGGTGTACTCTAATTTTTTTGGTTTCTGTTATACCGAGTTTAATAACATTTAAGTTAAAAGTTTCACTTCTGCTAGGGGTCCCGAGATCCACACATGGTTTTTTTTATTTTTTATGCTTTTTTGAATATATGTTTGATGTTTGGATACGATCTATCAAAAAAATCTACGTGTGATGGACGTCCTGAAGGAACATTTACTGGCATGTAATTCTACTCTATTGAAAAAGGCGGTACTACAAAATAATTTTTTTTCAACCTCTTGTATACAATAATATTTTTTGTATTACATAACAACTAGAAATAAGTGTGTGATTGTGACGTAAAAGATGTAATCAGCGTAGGTGGTACAAAGTTGTTTTGAAATTAATGGAAGATGCGATGAAAGCACACCGTCTTGAGCTAGCCAGCCTACACATCGTTTATATTCTAGTGTGCCATAATATATTGTTAATAACTGTTTAATTATTAAATATCAAAATATTTATAAGAATCCGACATAATTTTCGTACACGAAGAGAAGATTCTAGGGCCAGCTCCTTAGACCGTGGAATAGTAGCATGAATAGCCCGAGTGGCAGTCCCTCGATGCCATCGAGTTGCAAAAACTCGATACATAGAAGCAGCTTCTCAAGGAAGGGTAACAGCAGCACAATAAGTGTAGTGTAGCAGCTACATTATTTGTTGACTGATCACTGTGTATTGTGATGAATTAGAGCGCCAACCTGCCTCTCACGTGTAACATATCGTACTTAATGTGTGATTGCGCTGATATTAATTATTTAATAATTGTAATCCATTTATTTGAAATTAATTTTTTTATAACCTGTATGGAATTCAATAACATTCTACATTATATACTCGTTAACAATTTTTATAAAAAAAAAATTTTATTTTTAATTGTTTATAAAAAATTTATAAATAAATGGGTAATAAAATGCATACGTCAACATACGTGCATATGTTACCATGCTATCCCCGCTCACAAAAAAACGACTGGAATCAGATGAAAAATGACTGAGATACAAAATTTTTTTGACGATCAAATTTGGAGTTGCTCGATCGAAAAAATGCAGGAACAAAAATCGTGGTGGGTCTTCATGACTCATGAAAACTACGAGTTGTCAAAACTTGATGTCAACAATGTTAACCGTAACATTTTGCAAAGCAGTTTGTGGAGTTATATAGTTGAGGTTTTTAACTAGCTACCCAGTCAATTTTTTTTACTGATATTACTTAACCAACAAACGGCGTAATAAACAGAAAGAATATTATCTTAGTTCAGAAACATTTTACAACTATCTTTTTTTTTAATCCGTAAAAAAATATCAACTATTAGAATATGTGATTTAATTGCTACTATGATGATTTTTTTAAACAATATTTGCAAAAAAACGCTGACTAAAAAGGTCATACTTTGTAAAATGCCATTTTTTCATAGAAAAAATGAAAAATTAGTTAGACTAATTACAGGATCATTAACTAGAAGTAACAACACCAAAATAAGCTGTGAAAAGTTTATTTTTAATTACAGAAGTTGAGTTAGACATTTAAATTTATAGAGTTTCAAGCGCAAACTTAGTTAATATTGCAATGTATATATGAATTTTATAACTAACACCTCTTATTGTATCGTGTATAGTAAACTAACAAGTGATTATTTTTCTGTGCCTGTCCACGTATCATGCATGTACAACTTGATAAGATACCTAGTATTGTATTATTTCTTCCTATTCGTAACAGCTCCGAAAGCACCATTTAATTTCAGTGTTTAATATAAAAAAAATTGTTTTACAGAGGAGATTTAACTCGAGATAGAAAAAGTCAAATAAAAGTCTTCAAAGATAGTAATTCAATAATCACAGGACTAGCCATAAAATCAACTGGAAAGCAAAATCATCTGTTTGTTTCAACCAATAATAGTATTAACTTATATGATATAACAATAAAAGACAAGGAAAGCAAATCATCTTTAGATAATGTAGGCTGCTCTAAAAGTTGCAGTATTTTAGCAGAGTCCAAACAAGATAGTCATTTTATGATTGGTCGCAATGATGTAATTACAGATTTCAATATTATTCATAACCATAACAATGATTTAACGAAGATAAATTTGCAACGCTAAAATGTTTAATTTTAGTTATGATTTTGCATGAAAAAATCCATTAGCTCTGTTGTACTGATATTAGATGGATGATAAAAAATATGAAATTCGTAGTTTTTGTTTTTCTTTGCGGGACATCATTGTTCGTTTAACTTTGAATTATTATTCACACGATCATAATAACGCTATGAATATGTATATACATCTCCCTTAAATTTTAATTTGAACTTGCTTTGTTGTCAATTCTTACACCTGTGTAAAAAGAAAAAAAAAGTCTAATACTTTGATGATTTGTCTGACAAATCCAATAAATTTGAAACATTTTTTTTGGCAGCATCTTAATCTTGTAATACAAATAGTGTCAAACTTTTTTAGGCTGTTTATTGCTATACACTTGATGGTCGGGGGCCATGCTATGCAGTGGATGGTCAAAAAGTTATGTTGGAATGGTTTAGAAACTATCTTGTTATAATAGCTCAAGATACAAAAATTATCAACAGAACAACAGTGTCTGCAAAACCAAGGTATATCTTTGAAGTTTACCTTAAAATAAATTTTCATGCAAAAATTATAACTTCAATTCTAGTTCTATTGAGCCTATCTCCCAAGGAGCTGATAAGCACGTAATTACAATTCTTGATATTCAAAACAAGTTTATTGTATTTTCTGCATCGATGACGGTTGTTCAGGCAATCCTATCTGAATGGGGAGGTTTATTTATACTAAGTGGCGATTCCAAATTATATCACCTAGATGAAAAAGATTTACAATCGAAACTAGCTTTGTTATTTAAAAAGAACCTATACGACGTTTCAATCAGGTAATTTTAATATATTGTAGTACACAATTTTTTTTTTCAATCATGATCACATAAGGTTTACTCCAACTAAATTTCCCTAGGATTGCTAAAAATCAGCACTACGATGCTGAAGGTCTTATTGACATTTTTCGCCAGTATGGTGATCACCTTTACCTGAAAGGTGATTACAATGGTGCTATAGATCAGTATGTTAAGACAATAGGGAAACTCGAACCATCCTATGTAATTCGAAAATTTTTGGATTCTCAGCATACAGATTATTTAACAACATACTTACAAGCGTTACATAAACAAGGTCAAGCAACTGAAGATCATACAACACTGTTATTAAACTGTTATACAAAACTAAATCATACGGATCAATTAAAAGAATTTATAATGGTAAAACTCTTAAACTATATTATTTTAGATTTTTTAATAATTATTGAGTCATGATACTGAGTTAAGATGAGCTTACTTTAATTTATAAAATAGATACGTAAGAAAAAATCACACAAAACCTTTTTCAATGAGTCAAAATAGATGACTTTTTATTAAATGCTATTTTTCTGTGAAATCTGGAGAAATTGTCTACTTTTTGTTACATTTGTTTAATATCGCTTGGTCAACAAATTTATCCAAGAAGTTATTGTAACACAGTGGCCCATCACACAAATCTCCACCACTGGAACGGGTGTGACATTTCAAACTGGCCACTATAGTTTTTAGTAGTGAAAGAATAATTTACATGTGTTAACTATTAAAAATCAAGGATATTGGAAGGGTCTTCTGACTTTTTAATTTTTTTTAAATTTAAATTTCTTTCGTCACAAGGAAAAGTAGTAAATTGAACCACAAAAAGATAAAATAATTGATCAATTTCTTTTATTTCTGAGTTATATCATTAACTAGGGTTTCTACGTGAAAACACGCAATACCGTACATATCACGTAAGTTCTTTCCTTGAAGTCTCCCGTTTTACAGTTCCATGTACGAAAATTTTTTCATACATACTCTACTTTATTATCATATAAATTAATCACAATATTTTGAAAATTATACATTTGTAGACGCATTTTGCGCAAAAGAAAACCAATGATTTAAAAATTTTAACTTCAAAAAAATATGTAACAGAAGTAAATTTTACACTTTACTTCATGCCACCTTCTGTCCAAGTGTAAATAAAATTAATTTTAAATTTTATTAATTTAACTAATTCTCAAAATAAAAAAAACACTCTGCCATGAGCTAAGTTTGAGAGAAGTTCACCTCTTACTTTTTTGATATTGTGGTTCGTACCTCATCTTCAATTAAAACATTTGTTTACTGCTTTTGAGCTAATTTGTTTTTAAATATTTATTCAATATATCTACCAACTATTACGAGCGAGTTGAACACAGCATGGTTGGGAAAAAAAATTCACAAGTGCAAGGTGGCCCGCTCTCAGTGGACGTGCTCATATACATAATGCATTCTTTATAATTGTTTATTTATCAAATTAATATGAAGTAAAACCATACCTAACTACCGAATATCCTGATTCCAGCGATAATGGCACCACTTTGATACATACAACACAGTGGGTCATTAAAAGTATCAATTCATTAAACGTATATCAATGTATTCACTACACTAGCACCATTTTCTAAAATAAAGTCTACGAATTTCTAAGCTACAACAGGCCTAATCTGATATTTCGATAAATACACATAAAAAATAATCAACGAAATTTACAATAAATTTGTATAATAATCAAACATTACTTTTTTCAACACTAAACTTCGATGATCCTTTTTTTTAGCTGTGCCGTCTTCACTTTGTCGTCTCATTCGTTTAATCTCGGTGGCTTATTCCTTATAGCTCATTATCAACTTCAAGGACCAGGTAGTAAATCTGGATATTTTGCTAGTTACTGTTGTCTGTCGTAAAGTATTTCTTACTGTTCTATTAGGCCAATTTAAACTTACTCCGGCTAAAAACTGTGAAAGGAATCCTTCAAATTATATGTCCAACAGATGAACCATAGGTTCACAATCGTTGTCCAACAATTTTTCGTATCCAATTCAAACGATTACTTTTTTTACTAAATGATTTGTTTAATATGTCAAGCTTGCAAATAATATAAACTACTGATGAATGTTTATACTGTTGTGAGATTTACAGATCCAAAACTTCTTTTTTCAAGACTCCCTTTTTACAGGCTCCATTTTTCCTATGTGTCAAGTAAACGATGGTTCATCAGAGACTGATGGCTGCTTTTTGTGTAAATATGAATGTAAACTACTGATTATTTGAAAGAAAAAAGAGATTAAAAACTTTTGGAGATCGTTTATTGCGTTTGAGCTTGCCAAAACTGTACGTCTTAGTTATTTATTATTTATCAGTATCTCTCAATAATAGCAATCAGTTATTATTACTCCCTTCTCTTAGAGTAATTGAAAGTATTGTTATATTCTTATTTTGTATTTATTTGATGTTACGCATGTGGGAAACATGTGAAAATAACAGATAACGGGGCCCTGAGCCGCACGTTTTTCTCGCCATTAACGCTGTAATCGATTCGCTTGGCCATGCACCTGGTGAATAGGCAATTTTGCTGCGAAAAGATCACCCATCTCCTTTACGAGGAGCATTGCGTGATGGAAAAACATACGTAAAAATTCACAGAAATTTTTGTTTGAAAGAGTCGCACTGGCTGGGAATCGAACCGCCGTCTTCCGCGTGCTGACCCGCAACCTAGCCAACCGTAACCTTTCATCTTTTGGTATCTTCAAAAGCAATCTTCCTACTCTTCTAAATACTTGTTCATAGAGCGTAAAATTTGTTGTTTTATTTACCCTCGTGTTTTATATAAAAGCTGAAAATTTTGCCACTTTGTTCCTGTCATCATACGTTTCAGAGTAAGTTCTTATAAAGTCAGGTAGGGTGGCATGATTTTGCTCTAGTGATCTGTTCATTTGGGGGTGATTTGCTCATGTAGTCAGATGATTTGTTCTTGGGGGTTCTCATAAGTTGTTCTAATAAATCAGGCATGAATGTAGCAAGTCTATCTGATATAATTTCTCTAGGCACATTGGAAAGTAATATAAGATTTTGTATAAGTTCATCAACAAGCGTATTCGATCTGAAATCTGATGCAAGTATTAATATGTACTTAGTCAAATTACACTGTAGTGTTAGCAAGTAGCAATTATTATTTTGTGTCATTCTTTATTTACCGACGGTATCAATGGAAACTTTATCAAAAGCTTTCATATGTGTGTTTATAAGTACTAGGGTTTCTCGTGGTTTCATCTGTTCAATTTTTTTTTCTAGACATTTACTGCATTGTTGGCATTTCATTACGTTCTTGAAATTTTGGAAAATTAACCTTATCGTCATAGACAGTAATTTGTATAGGCGTTTGATTAGATGTTGCTAAGCAAAGGTTCCGTTGTGCATGCGAGAGAGTGCGGACGTGTCGAGAGAGCGCTCCGTAGGAAAGAGTAATTAAAAAGTAATTAAAGTAAAAATAAAAGAAATAAAAGTACGAGGAAGTGTAAAAAGTGAAGAAGCAGCAGAGAAAATAGTGTAAAGTTAATAATTATGAAAGTTTGAAAGGATGAAGTGAGATTAGTGTGGTATTGTCAGGGTAAGAGAACACGTGTAAGGCAAGTAAGGAGTGGGTAGTAAGAATAGGGGATAATAAAGAAAGTAATAAGTGGAAAAACGAGAGACAAGAGGACAGAAAAACAGTGTTAAAGTGGTGATAGTAAAAGAAAAAGTGCAGTGAAGTTGGAAAGAAAGTGAGGTTAGAAAAGATATTACAGGAAGAAAGAAGCGGCAATTGGAGAAAGAGGTCGATAAAAGGGGTAATCTGAGAGGTAGATAAGGAACGTCCCTGAAAGAAAGAAAAAAGATTGAGGTCGGTAAGGAAGGTCACTACTTTTGTCGAGTAAGGGTAGCAAATAGAGTTTCTGACCGATAAAAGTAGGTGTCGGTAAAGTAGAAAACTACATTATTGACAAATTTTAAAAATGGCCGGAAAGCCGCCTGCAGCAAGTATGAATACAAGAAATAATACAAATACAAAATTGAAGGAACAGACTCTATTGAATTTTACAAAAGAAAATCAGGAGAATAAAGAATTAAACGATAAGATGAGCAGGTTGGAAAGGAAGTTGGACAGCATGATTAGTAGTCTAGAAAGAAGAGAAGAAGATTGGAAAGAGGAAAAACAGATGTGGATAAAAGAAAGGCAACAGTGGACAGAAGAAAAGAAGGCGTTAGAAGAAAGAATAAGCAAGTTGGAATGGGAAACAGAAAAAGCTGAGAGAGAGAAAAGGAGACCGAACATTGTTATAAAAGGAGCAAATATTGAAGGAGAGAATCTGGAGAAGAAGGTCGAAAAATATATTGAACAAAAGATTAAAATAAAAGTCAAGATACAGAAGACTAAAGTGATAAGTGTAAACGCTGGGCAAAATGTGAGGAAGTTGGTGGTAGTAAGGCTGGCAAATAAAGAAATGAAAGAAGAAGTAATGAGAAATAAAAAACATCTGGAGAGAGGAGTTTACATAGAAAGCGATCTAACAGAGAGAGAAAGAAAGATCCAAAAATTTATTTTAAACAAGTCAAAAGAGCAGAGGAACAAAGGAAAAAATACAAAAGTTGGATATATGAAGATTTTGATCGATGGTAAATGGCTTAGATTTGATGAAAGGAAAGGAGATTTTACAGAGGAAAGAAGAAGGAGCCAAGAATGAAGAGAACAAGAAGATGGAGAGGAGGAGGGAGTGAGAAGAAGAAATGTTAGTGTTTGTGCGTGGAACATTGCGGGAGTGCTAAATAAGGACAGTGAAGTGTGGAAGTATTTAAGTGAATTTGATGTGATAATGTTAGTAGAGACATGGTTGGAAAAGGACAAGTGGACTAATGTAGAAAGTGAGTTGCCAAAAAGCTATGAGTGGAAGTGTATAGCAGCGACTAGAGAACATAAAAAACGTAGAGCGAAAGGAGAAGTAATATTAGGAATAAGCAAAAAACTGGAGAGTAGAAATCATGAAGTATGGAGCGATAATATAGTAATGCAGGAGATTAAACACGGAAATCAGAACTGGAAGATCATAGGAGTATATAGTCAAAATGTAGCAGAGACGATGGGAATTATAAAGGAAAAAGTAAAAACGAAGGACAGTGGATGCGTACTTATACTAGGAGACTGGAATGCAAGAACTGGGAGAGAAGGAGGATGGATTAATGAAAGTGATAGTGAGAGTGATAGTGACGACAAGGACGTAAGGTTAAGAAAGTCGAAAGACGAAAAGATCAATGAGGAAGGTAGAAGACTAATAAAAGAAATAACAAAAGAAGGATGGTGTATAGTAAATGGGCAAAAAGGAAAAGAAGGAGAATTCACATAC